AAGAAGAAAAATAAAAGTACTATTATATTTGTACAATAATATTTTTTATTTTTCTTCTTTGAACTTAGACAGAAATTAATATGTTTATAAAATATTCAAAACTAATTTATCTCCACATATTGCTGTTTTTGATCTATTCATGGTAGTTGAAAACCTGTTGAAATACAGTACAACCTTTATCTTTATATATCCTATTGTCACATAAGCTTTTATTTCTTTGAAAATATTCATTACTTTTCTTTAAATGGCATTCAAGAAAGATAAAAAAACTACAAAGTGCTACAGAGGAGGCTGTATGCTATTTTAATATGCAGGGCATTATAAATAAATCACAAGGTGAGCATCATAAATTTTGATAAACTGATGTTCCTTATACATCAACTTTTTTGCTTAACATTAGAATTGAAGAGGGCAGGACGTTGAGATTTTAAACTGGCTTTTCATTGCTCTATGCTGCCTGGAACCACTTTATGTGACAGCCATATAGATTTCTTTAAAAAAAAAAGATTCCTACTAAGAATTCTCATAAGGACAAAAAGTCAGATTGAATAGTGTGTAAAGAAGGGAAGGACATGGATGAAGACTGAGTTCTAAGCCTCCCTTAGGCATGAAAGTTGCCCAGGTGACTTTGGACCAGTCTCTCAACCGAACCCTCCCCACAGGATGGTTATAATGAATGTAGATAGGGCTGGAAGAGATCTTGGAAGTCATCTAGCCTGATCCCCTGTTCAAGGCCTCCTGCCTTATAACATCCCAATTAAGTGGTGGTCTGTTCTGTTCCTGAAACCACTTGTGATGGACCACCCACAACTCTGTGACCCCTAATCCTCAATAGGCTAAACATACCTCTCAACCATTCATTTTAGCCTTCATATTCTCTTAGTATGTCCTTGCCTATTTTGACTTTTATACTTGTTTTCCTTGGTGCTACTTTTGATAGGTCGGGCTATTCCTTTTTTGTAAAAACGGATGCAAACAATTAAGCAGTTCTGCTTTCTCTCTTGCTTGTCATCTTGCCATCTGCTCCCATTAGTGGAGCTATCACTTCTTTGACTTGCACCTTACATATTGAAAAACTATTATTTTTGGCATTAGTTGCCAGCCTTAGCTCATTAGGTTTCCTGATTCCCTCCTTGCAAATTTGGGTTATTTGCTAGTATTCTGTTTTAGTTACCATATGTGCCCTTTCCATTTAAAAAAAAAAATTATTTTGACCCTCAATTTGTCAGCTCTTTTTGCAACCTTGCTTGTTTCCTCGGGTATCTTGTTTTTCTTTCACTGTGATATTGCCTTCATCTCATTTTTCAGGGTTTCACAAATGTCCTTGTAGGCTTTCCATCGATGGAATCCTTCCTAATCTGTTGAAGTTAGCTCTCTTAAAGTCTAAAATGCTAATCTGATTTAGCTTCCTGTTGTTGCATTATGGTGATTTAAAGTATGATATGATTGCTTTCCTCCAAAGTTTCTATAGCTTCTACTCTCAACCATTTTGTCCCTATTAGTAAGAATGAAGTCCATAATAGCTGTCCCTCTAGTAACCTTCTTCTCTACCTTTTGCATGACAAAACTGTCAGGTAGGCACATAAGGAACCTGTCTGATCTCCCACTCCCTGCAGTTTATTTCACAACTGATGTCAGGGTAATTAAAGTAATCCCTCATTACTATAGTTTCTTGCACACTTCAACTAACTGATCTACAAAGAGTTCATCTATTTCCTCTGGCAGGCTGGATGGCCAGTAGAGCACACCTATACAAAGTCATTTATTCTCTAATATTTAGCCAACTACTTTGAAAAAAGCTTTCATCCCTAATGTGTATTTCTGTGGAGGTGTAATAACATATACCAGTGATGGCTAACCTTTTTGCTGTCGTGTGCCAAAAGCGGGGGTTGCATGGGGGGGGGATCGCGCACTTGCATGCCCACACCCATAATTCAATGCACCCCTCCGCACATGTGACCCCTCCCGCGCTCCCCCTGCTTTTGGCACACGATGGCACAGTTGGACTGTTTCTCACCCTCCCCAAGCTCCAGAGGCTTTCTAGGAGCCTGGGAGGGCAAAAACGGCCTTCCCCAATCCCCCCCACCCCCGGAGACAGGAAATGGCTTGCCAGCAGGCACATGCACACTGGAGCTCAGCTAGGGCAATCCTCGCATGCCCACTGATATGGCTCCACGTGCCACAGGTGGCACACGTGCCATAGGTTCGCCATCACAGACATATACAGTGCGACACCCCCCACTGAATTTTTTTTTAGTTTTGTTTCTTTTTGGTTAGATGACAGGAGTATTAGGGGTTTTCACTGCCTTGTATCTAAATCAAAGAATACTATAACAAAACAGGCTGGAGTGTTGTGATCATTAAAAAAAATGGTGTGCTGCAAAAACAATAAATGGGGAAAGCTGGTGCATGCACAAAAACACCTAAAACCTACAGTAAAACACTAGGTCTGCACTGGAATTGTTTTACAATATAAAAACATTTCAAAATCACCCAAGAAGGTGCTTCCTTTTTCTGTTGTCTCCATGATTATCAGGCTCAAGCCCAGAGAAATATGTTTGAATTCAATCCTATATTTGCTTACACCTAATGGACAAAATCTTGGCAAACTAAAGCCGTAGCTTTCTTACCTATTGGACACATTCTGAAGAGATTCTAAGGTATGGCTACCCCGAATCTCTTCCCCTATCCTGCTCGGAAATGCGCAGTCCCTTAATCCAGGCCTCTTTCTGGGAAAACTGCTTATCAACACCCCCCCCCCTCCTACATGTGCCCATTCCATTGCAATGGTGGTGCATTCATGTATTGCCAACCTATAAACCAGATAGACTAATCTCTCTGAGACATAGCAGTGTTAAAGATTTTGTCTCTTATTCCAACAGCTCCTTATACTACCACTTATATTCCAAATCGTGTTTTACCAGGCATTTCCCGCAGCCGTGGTATGTGAGCGAAATAGGGGCTTCAGACTGCTAGATTTTGAAAATTAAAAAGTAAAAACAGGGGAAATGGAATAATGCAGCTTTTTGATTGGATAGCTGCAATCCATGCGAAAGGATAATTTGCCCTTGAGAAACAGACCAATCACACAAAAGATAATGTTTATCTTTTCTAAAATCAAACTTAGTTTGTTAAAAAAACTAAATAGTAAGAAACCATTGTATTTTAAATTTCACAAGATACACTTACAAAGTTAAATACTAAACCAACAGTTCAGTTACCAGTTTACAAGTCATCTGAAGAAAAATACAAAGGATTAGAGTAAATCCTATATTCTGGATGGAATCTAAGATGGTGTAATCTGTTACAAATAAAACTTGCTGTAAAGGGATTGGAATAAGATTCAAATGATGTTGGTACACTAAGAAGGTACAATTAGCACCATCTTATCTTGTTCACATGTGAGGTCTCATTCAAGACCAGCCTAAAGCAATTTTCTGAATTGAACAGAAACAAAAAATCAGCACTTCTTGTCTAGATTTGTTATCTAGAATTTTCTTGAAATAGCTTTTCCCTTTGACTTAATTACCTGAACATCTCTGAGATTCCTGGGAAATCCAAATTTTAATCAAAAGCTGTTTTTTCCCAGGTTTTCTTCATTTCCTCCAATTCTGCTTTGTCCTTAAGTGACTCTTAACGACAGCAAAGATATTTTTGTTATTGGAAAATGCATTCGATTCTTTTCTTGGAAGAATGGCTAATCAAGTTATGTGACTGCCTTAATATTAAAAACAATTTGGTATTTAAAAAGTAAATCTGATGCAGAATTCAATTCTAACCGGAAACCTTTGTTGGGTTATTACAGGTTTGTGTTAAACCAGGTACCTTTAGTTTAAAACTCAATAGTGAAATACTTTTTGCTTTAAAAATGATTTTACACATTTCATAATTCAAATATTAAATAAAGATTATATAGAAGCAGAAGAGATTTTAGGTTTAATGTTTACTAACTTTACCTTACTAATTGCAATCTAGCATTTTTTTTACACTTATCTGTCATGATTCATTTCTTTTAAAAAGTACTCACATTTTCTATTCTCAGGAGAGGGAAGGCTGGGTTAGGTCTATCATGACACTTAATTAAAAAGCGGATATATTTTGGAATGCAGATTGATGTTCCTAAGAGCACAGAGATCTCTCTTTGCTTCCATAGTATATATTTTTTGCAGCCCAACACTGGTAACTCTACATAAAGGATAATTCTCTTATCAGTTGGGGACTAAGGGATAATCAATTCTCTGACAACAGCAGCTTAAGAAATACTAAACGCAATAGCACATACTGTCAAGATGCAAAGAGGCAACATCAGAATCGGCTCTTCCAAGTAAACTCGTTCTTTATTGAGTCTGATTTGACTCAAAATGACTTCAGGGGCTGCAGTTTCCAGAAAGGGCAGTTGTGTAGCTTGTCGCAAACGGAAAGCATCAAAGAACGTTGTGGCTCCTTAAAGCCTGCTCTTCCTTTTTTTTCAAATCGCAACTAAAGGCAAAACCAGGAAAAGTTCGGCTCAACCGATTCTATTTATTTTTATTTATTTATTTATTTTGTCGAGTACATATTAGATAAAGATATATAAGTAGAGGCATGAATTGAATACATAAAATGAATACAATTAAAGGGAACATTAGGACATTAGGCACGCTGGTGCTCTTATGCACGCCCCTTCCATCCCTGAGAGGACGTGGTTTCGGCAACCACCGTTCCTTCCCTTCCACCCGGCGGGATCACCGGCGGCCCCATTCCTCGGCTCCCCGGACCGCCTCCCTAAAGCTTTCGCAAAACGAACCGGAAACCGGCGGACGCACATGACCCCGCTAGACTGAAACGCCGCCCTTGCTTTCCCTTCCTAGCGTGCTTTTTTTCCTTTCCCCGTAGCTTTCGCAGTCCGAGGCGGAACTGCTCGCCGAAGCCAGGCTTTGCAAGCGGAGGAGGAGGAGGAGGAGGAGTGCCTCGGGAGCGGGTGTCCTGGTCAGCGGGGAAGGGTCCGAGGGTGAATTGTGGCGCGGGGTGGCAGTGGTGGTGTTACAGCAAAGAAGCGGAATGGAGTGGGAACGGGAGTCGAGTCCGCAAAGGGGAGGGCGGCGCTGGAGGCGCGTTGTGGATCGCGGCGGTCTTGTTCCTTTCGCTCTTGAGGTTCTGTGACGTCACTCGATCGCTTAGCGCCCCTCTTGCGAGAGCTGGAAGGCGCTCTTGCGCTTTGGGCGCCTCTGAGCTCTCTCGGTAATATGGAGGGAAATGCCTCGGCCTTTTCAGCAGGCTCCGCGCTTGCTTTTTAAAAATCACGAATAGGCTGCTCGCCTCGTTGGGTGGGTTCCAAAGTTTCTTCCAGCAAAGGCGCTTTTTGATCGCGCACGGCTATTCTTTTTTTTGTTCTGGAGAAAATCTTTCATGTATGGGGTCTCTAGAAGTCGAAAACGGTTTGATGGCACATACCCGATTATTTTTGTTACTCCGACAAAGCTTAGAGGATCCCTGCAGTAAGTATTTTGTGGGTGGGTGGGGTCGCAGCAGTGAATGGATCCTATTTATAATCCAGGTCAGAACCAAATGGTCCATTTCTTCCTTTTCCTCTGCTATTGTAGTGTTTACGACTTTGGTCATTTGGATCTCGGTTCTACTGTTCCAAAGAGTTGGTGCGTCCAGCTTTTGAAGCCTCTTAAGTTAACCATCAAAGGATAATTTTGCAGGATCTTTTGAATTACTAGCATATGAAATCTGTAAGTAGTTTAGGGAAATTAGAAAGTTTCTAGTTTCTGGTTTTGTTTTTTTTAAACAAAGCAACTTTCCAAAGCCTGCTTAATGGGAATCCATTAAACCTAATATTTTAGGCAGGACAATAATTTGTGACACACACAAACCTTTCTTGGCCTATATTTTTCACCTACTTTCATACCCTGTTTTCCCCAAAATAAGACATCCCCTGATAATAAGCCCAATCGGGTTTTTGAACGCATGGCAATAAGGCCAAGCGCTTATTTTAGGGTTCAAAAAAATATAAGACACGGTCTTATTTTCGGGGAAACATGGTACATATCCTTGATACATAAAATAATTTCCAAGTAAACCAGATTTAGGAAGGGGAAAGCTTGCTAGTTTTAATAAATGTTCGTATTAATAAATAAATGTTTGAAACTAAAATTAATGATCAAGAACGCCATTCATGAAAATGTATAGCATAGTCAGAAAAAAAAATTTCACTCCTTTTATAGAATGTAAGTACTATATTTCTTTGAATCTTAGTGGACAACATGGATTATTATTCTTTTTGCTTATGGCAAAAGCTTGCATACATTTCTCTGATTATTCAGAAAATAAAATTATATCATGTGACTAATTAAAAAGATACCAATTAAACCTGGCCCTTTGGAAGACTTTACCCTCTAAGGTAAAATCTGCCCCCAGCCTCCTACCCTTCTGCAAAAGAGCCTGAGGACCTGACTACTGGTTGGCCTGGGGATCAAATAGGGGAGTTCCACACTGGAGGTGGCTACTAGATTGATGGCAGCCTCCACCTCCCCTCCCCTTGCTCTGTGCTCTCCAACCATCCATCTTTTTGGTTACCCTATTGATGTATTTATTTTTGTTGTGTTCCTTTGTCATTGTTTATTTTATTTTACTCCTGTTCTATTTACGCCCTTTCATTTTTCTTTCTTTTTATTATTGTAAGCTGCTTAGAATAGCCCTTAGAATAGGTGAGATAAGTGGCAAATAAATTTAATAAATAAATAAATGAGGTGAAAATATAACAGAATACCAACACCGTGCAATGAGGTATCAGTACGCTGATACTCAACTTTATATCTCCAACCGGTGTGGCAGAGGTGTTGCTGTCATTTCTGTTTCATGGTGTCTGGAGGCTCTGGGGGACAATAGACATCACTTAAACCCCGGCAGGACTGAGTGGATATAGGTATATGGAGCCTTGAGACCTATTTTAACAACTTCAGTTCTGGATGGGGTCATACTTCCCCAGACAGATCCTGTGCACAACCTGGGGCTTCTTCTACTCTAGACACACACTCCTGCTCAAAGAGCAGGTGGCAGTGGTAGGTAGGAGAGCTTTTACTCAACTTCGTTTTGCATCCTTTCCTGGATTGTGAGTCCCTGCGCTCAGTCACTCATGCCCTTGTCATCTTGCGCTTGGAGTACTGCAATGTGCTCTACATGAGACTACTCTTGAGGAATATTCAGAAGCTTCAGTTGGCACAAAATGAAGCAGTGCAAATAGTTTAGGTGGCCGGTGTAACAACTCTGTTGTGTAAATGCACTGGTTTCCAGTCTGATTCCAGAACCAATTCAAGCTGTTAGTTATCACCTTTAAAGTCCTTTATGACATAGGTCCAGGATATCTGAGGAACCATATCTCCCCAATGGGATTGGCCGACCCCACATGTGCTAACAAAAAGGGGATGTTGTGAATCCTGTCAGCCAAGGAATTGTGGCTGGTTGGGTCCAGGAGGAGAACCTTTTCTGCCATAGCTTCCGCCTTTTGGAACATCATCCCCCCTCTAGATGTGAGAGCTGCCCCCACCCTCTCAGCCTTCTGAAAGGGCTTAAAAACTTGGCTCTGCCAATTCTCTTGGGGCTCATAAGGAGGTGTCCCATTCTGGAGATGGCTAGTAGATTGGATAAGATACCACTTCCATACCTACTTACTCACTGGTCCTTTATTTAACTTATTGTTAATGTTAGCCATTTCTGTTTTAAGACTTGATATTTTAAAGTTTCCATTTTAATTGCTTCTGATATTGTAAGCTGCCCAGAACTAGTGAGATGGACAGCATAGAAATTCAATAAATAAATGAATAAATAACCATTCTTAATAAATGTGATTGATGTATTCTTGCAAATAATTTGAGCAATAAAATTATTTAGTGGAATAAAATATATTTTGCATATTTGAGCAGTAAAATTATTTTAGTGGAATAAAATATATTTTGCATATGTCTTTTTAGGTAAGATTGCTGTACTAATAATGTAGCTGAAAGTCATGTCTTTGCCCTCTGGAACCAAGAGTCATAATTTTGATATTAGGGAAGCAGCAGCAGAGGAAGAGATGGCAAGTGGAATCATTAGGGCAATATATGATTAAATCAATTATGTACTTACCATTATTTTTCAATCTTTACCATTGCCATTTGTAATTTTTCTACCAGTGTATTGTTTGATGCTATACAGATAACAGATAACATTACTCCTTACCTAAGCTGTGCTGAAAACAACTAGCTTCACTGCTCCAAGTGAAGTAAAAAGTGGAATAGAAAGTTCAGAAAGGGAGAATCTATTTTGGTCCAAGAAAAGTGATATCTGAAGACAGGAAGGTTAGGGGCAAAGGGAGAACTTGAAGTTATCTAGCGCAAGATACTGTGCCGTGAGCTACGGTTTAGAAATGACAATGACTGAATCAGAACAATAGGCCAACCTGTTGTGTGGCCTGTTGACTTGATTCACACAATATATTAAATTACCGTGAATGATTAAGGTGGACCTACATGACATCATTTTCTCTTGTCTTGCACATTTTCAATGAATCTTTCAGGTTGTATGAACCTGAAGCTGCCACCTTTAACTTTCCATTAACTGAAAGTAAGGTTTCAACTTACAGCTTTCTTTATCTAGCTATTCCAGATTTGTACAACGTACTTAAACTTTGAAAAGTTTAATTAACAAGCAGAGCAAGACAAGGTTAAGATAATGGTGGTTTTGTGTATCTTGATCCATGCTAAGTTATTACATGTATTGTGGGAAATGCTACATATCAAGCCAGTTGCTAATAGCCAAGTGAGATTTATTGAGGGGACAGAATTTAATTAGTAAAGATAAGAATACCAAAGATTGATTTATTCCATTTTTTTACGTATCACTGTCTTTATTTTTTTAAAAATATTTATATATAGAACAGAACAGAATAGAACATTCTATATTGGCCATTGTGTGATTAGACACACAAGGAATTTGTTTCTGATGCACAAGCTGTACAAACAACAAATTCATAAATCATAAGATACAATCATAAATCATAAGATACAACCAACAAAGTGATAGCCATAAGAAGGATAATAGTAATACAGCCATACTACATGGGTAAATATCCTTAGGCATGAGATAGTGTTGTGGGAATTAGGTATGTAGAAGAGTGATGGCAGGGGGTGAAATTGTCTCTGTGTCTAGTTGTTTTGGCATGCAATGCCCTATAGCGGCATCCTGAGGGAAGGAGTTGAAATAGTTTATGTCCAGGATGTGAGGAGTCTGTAGATATTTTCTCAGCCCTCGTTCTGTGTTGCTTGTGTAGTATAGAGATCCTCAATGGAAGGCAGGCTGGTTGCAGGTTTTTTTTTCCTGCAGTCCTAACTATCCGTTGAAGTCTATACCTGTTCTGTGGTAGCAGCGGTAGAATTTTTAAAAACCAGCTAAACTTGTAAGTTTACAATGTATGTTTTAATAGTTTGTAAAGATTCGAGAGAATATTACAGATTTGATTTAACTTCTGAAGTAATGTCATATGGATCAAATATTTTTCTCTGGGCACTATATTTCATGGCAGGGGTGGCACTCCAGTGAAAAATTGATCAGAAACAGGAAAGGATCCTGGAGGAGTTTCATAAGGAAGAAGAGAGGCTTTCAGGTGAGGTCTTTGATGAGATTAGCCTACTTCAGACATAACAATGAATAGACAGTTGCTTATCATTATTTTCATGAGTCTTGGGCTTTTAAACTCTTCCCCCAACCCCTCCAGGCCACAAGGAAGAGATTGGAAACTTTTAATTTCTGTTAAATGTACTTTAGCATGGGAACCTTAGTCTTCCTTAAGGGTAATTAATTGAAACTAAACCGATTTATAAACTGTGATTGAAATTATTTTGTTTCAACTTCCATAGTTAAGACCAACTGTACTGCACTTTGTTTAAAGACTATTTAACTTTTAAAATAAGTAAAAGTGTTTGAATGTTTCCTGGAATGTCTACTTGAGATGAAAAGATTTCATAATCCAGAAGGCTGCTCTTGTCCATTTGGGTACTGATGAGCTATCTTTAGTGACTGAAGCAGATTATTCAGTTTATGGTGTCTTCATAACGTATTCTAGAAAGACGTTTATCATTCACAGATCGTTTAAATGTCTTCAGAAGACAAAGAATCTCAGGAGGATGAACTTCTTGCTTTGGCAAGTATTTACGATGAAGATGAATTCAAGAGAGCACAAAATGTACAAGGAGGAGAAACTCGAATCTCCGTGGATGTGCCTCAGAATTTCAGAGTATCTTTGAGCGGTAAGTCCGACTCGTTTTTGGATTCAGATTTTCTTGAAAGGTATTGTAGTAGAGTACTGTCAAGTATGGAAACATTCATTCATTCATTCATTCATTCATTCATTCATTCATTCATTCATGTATTTATCCTATTTCTTAACCACCTGTCTCCCTCAGAGTTATCCTAACCTGTGCAAAATGTAATTTCAGTATGATATGATATTTCAGTATACCTCATTACCTCTTTGAATATATACATAGACAACGTGCAAGGCAGGAATCCACATTTTGCACACACTTTGGACAATTTTACATTGTGATCCAATCCAAGAATAACATGACTAGAAGACTGTATTTCTAACTCCAAATCCAAGCCCAAGTTGATTTTGATGGAAGTGAAAGTGATTTTGGAAGTGGGTGACGAGGGCTAATGGAATGTTCAGGAGCCAGCCAGAGATTTCTTGATATGCCATGTGTGAGACAGAAGATGCGAGATCCTTTTCTCTGCATGACAGTGAAACAAGAAAGTGGTTGACAACTAACCCTAACACAGATGGTTCTGTGTTGTACAAAGAGACGGCAACACATGAGCCTCCGGAGGTCACTGAACATCTTCCATCTCCCCACACTAGATCACCAGTGTTGAAAAGGTGGGTGAGGATTGCAGTCTACTGGTAACTATATTTGGAGGGCCACATTTACTCAACATACCTAAATTCAAGCAACATTTGAAGAAATTGTACTGGGAATTTCTCAAAGGAAAGGCTTTATGGAAATAATATTGAACCATTCAGTTAAATAGCATGACTTGGAAATTGCGTGATCAGATTAATTTGTAAGTCGCCCAGAGTTGCCTTGCAGTGAGATAAACAGCAAACAAATTTAATAAATAAATTGAATAAATTTTGTTTCAGGCAACTTCACAGAGACTCTTGAAAACAGCAAGCTTGAATATACAGTAAGCTTTCTGCCTCCAGTGGTGCTGAATTTTGAATTCCCAGCAGACTATCCTTCAACTTCCCCACCTCTGTTCACTCTCAGTTGCAAGTGGCTGTCTCAGGCTCAGGTTTGGCATTGATCTTTTACACAGCATGTAATTTATATGATCCACCAGGATGATAAGGCACATAGTTTTTAAATGAACGAGTGATGATCTCATTGCAGCCAAAGGATACTTGCTAAAAAGAAGCATCATAATTAAAATGCAGGTTAGTTAGGGAAAATAATATGTGTGTTAAAACTCCTCATGAATTATTTTTAATTATATTATAAAGTCAATAATTGTGACTTTAAAATCTTAATATTATCTGTATAGCGTATTCATTTAGAAATTATACATAAGTAATTTTTGGAGTTACGTTTTATCTCTACACGTATAGCAGTCCTTAATGTTCAGATAACGGCTTCATGTGGAGCTTGAAATATGGATGCAGTACTATTAAAATCATGTTTCTTTTCATGAAATTTTGTTTTCTTTAAGGATATAGTAAGATTGGCTTAAGATTTGTGGAAAAAATGTTTTGTCTAACTGTTCTTTCTACTCCTCTCCCCTCTTCCAGCTCACTGCTCTTTGCAGGCACCTAGATAACTTATGGGAAGAAAACAGAGGTTCTGTGGTCCTGTTTGCCTGGATGCAATTTCTCAAAGAAGAGACACTTGCCTATCTGAATATCGCTTCCCCGTTTGAACCGGAGATAACTGAGCAAGAAAAACAGCCAAAGGAAGAGGATGGTTGCTATGACATCAAAGATGCTGCATCCACACATAGAGAATCCTCTGATACAAGCACTGTAGAGGATGTTGAGTCTTTGTCAATCCTGATTAAGGAAATTTTAGATTTTGATCAGTCCCAAAAGGAGAAGAATTTCAACTGTAAAATGTTCACGTGCAATATCTGTTTTTCGGTAAAACAGGGAAGCGAATGTATGGACTTTAAAGACTGCAGGCATGTGTACTGCAAGATTTGCTTGAAGAACTACTTTGAAATTCAAATCAAAGATGGACAGGTTCATTGCCTGAATTGTCCAGAACCTGAATGTTCATCTGTTGCCACTCCTGGGCAGGTAAAAGAAAAGACAATTATGGGTCAGACGTGGTATGAATCCCGCCCTGTCATTGAAGCATAAAAATAGTTGGGCATTTTCCAGAAAAGAAAGCTAGTACAGGTAGTCTTCAGTTTACGACCCACAATTCAACCCAAAATTTCTGTTGCTAAGTGAAACATTTAAGTGAATTTTGCCCCCGTTTACGACCTTTCTTGCCACAGTTAAGTGAGTTGTTAGTAACACAATTATTAAGTGAATCTGACTTCCCCATTGATGTTACTTGTCAAAAGGTTGCAAAAGGGGATCATATGACCCTGGGACACTGCAACTGTCATAAATATGAAACAGTTGCCAAGTGTCTGAATTTTGATCACGTGATCATGGAGATGCTGCAATGGTCGTAAGTGTGAAAAACGATCATAAGTCCCTTTTTTCAGTGCCATTGTAACTTTGGCCACTAAATGAACTGTTGTAAGTCGAGGACTTTTAACAGATTAGCAGAGTTGGAAGGGACCTTGTAGGTCATCTAGTCCAACCCCCTACCCAAGCAGGAGACCCTACACCACTTCTGACAGATGGCAGTCCAGTGTCTTCTTGAAAGCTTCCAGTGATGAAGCTCCCACAATCTCTGAACTTACAACTTACTTAAAGACATACTAATGTCCAATTATAGTAGTGGCTATCTATATTGTTAAGATGATTTTGGCAGCTAATACTGTAAGTATTTAAAGAGACGACCACATCTTTTGCAAAAGAACTAGGATCCCAAAGAATTAGGCCAGTATTCACCTAATTTATAAGAACAGAGATGTGTAAGCTTGTTTGTCCTGCAATATACAAAGCTTTATTATTTTCTGGACTAACTTTTTTTTTGGAAATTAACTTTTCGATAACTTTAGAACTTTGGTCTAAGCTTAGGAGTAAATATATGTTTCTACATTCTGTAATGAATTGGCCCCGATTTAATTCAATGATATTCTGGAGTCCTTTCTAAATCTTTGAAGTCTTTGGATTGTTATTAGCCAAGCCCTAGAAATATGCATTGTGGAGCACTGAAAAGACAGTAATCACTTCCAATGTTGATATGGACTGAGAGTAATCGCTACAGTTGTTGCAATATGACAAGAGGTCTAAATGGACTTCACTTAGTATCTTTTGTACTCTTCTGTCAGATTATTTTCATAAATATAATCTGAGGTAAATCTTGCTACATCAAAATCCTCTAACATATTTAATCACTTGCCTTCAAGGTGAAAGAGCTGGTGGAAGAGAAGCTATTTGCACTTTACGATCGCCTGCTGCTTCAGTCAAGTTTGGATTTGATGGCAGATGTAGTCTATTGCCCACGTCCAAGCTGCCAAACCCCAGTGATGCAGGATCCTTCTTGCACTATGGGCATCTGTTCACGATGTAATTATGCATTCTGTACTTTGTGTAAAATGACCTATCATGGAGTTTCCCCATGTAAAGTCACTGCAGGTGAGTAACCATAAAGGACCTTGCATTCAGGGCTCTCTGAATATTAATGCTTTATATAAAAGAGTTAGTGTAGTGTTGGGGAGTAAGCTCTTAAAATGATGGACTGGCACTGAGGAAACTCAGGTTCTCCTGAGCCATGAAAAACATACTGACAGAATAACTTGAGTCATTTATTTATCAAGTTGTGAAACACAGAGGGACACATTGATTCTTACATGAACCTATCACCCAGGATTCTTTTTGGGAGCACTGTTTATGCCACCTTGAACTTCTGAATGAAAAGTGGGGTATAAATTTAGTCAAAAAATTAACATAATGTTGGATGTGGGAATCTCTTCAACAATCTCATAAAATGGATGGTGGCTGGTGCAGGTGGCCCTCCAGTTTGTCTTGTAGTCCTAAGAGCATTTCAAGATTATACTGATGAATTTTGTGGCCCAGATTTTCCTGCTGTTTTTATTTATTTGTTTAAAAAAGGAAAAAATCTTAATTCTATGGAAGATTTAAGATCCCAATTTCAAAAAAATAATCTAATTCTTAAATTGTTTGAGAAGACGATTTAAGTCTCTTCGATAGCTTCAGATTCTTATCGAGCTTAATATAATTAATTCACTCTCCTCTGAATCAGACCAAACATTTTCATTCTAACCATTCTGATTTCATAATTGGGTCACTATCCATATCTCCAATATTTTACATTTTAAATTGCAGCTAGTTGTTACCATAAATTGGCCAACTGTCAGAATTAAAATTCTTAAAGGCTGTCTTCTTAGATAGTTCTTGATATTTTTCTTCTTTTTTTATTTCTTTGTGTCTTTAATTAAATAGGGAGTATATAGAAGGCTTTATTGAGTAGAATATTTTTTTAAAATAATGTTATTAAGAATTATAAATGCAAAGTCAATACAAACTACATAAAATACAAAAAAGTACTGGGAAAGGGGGGAGGCTGAAAAAGAAAATAAAGAAAAGATTAAAAAAAATAACTTCTCCTTTCATCCCAGCAGATTAAAAACAATTTTAGTAGTTTCTAAAATAAATCATAATTTCTCTTTTGCCCATAACTCATCTTTTAGATAAAGAAAACAGTCCAAATGCTATGTCAATTAATCTATGTCAGCACAAGTCCAGTAAGGGCAGATATAACTATTTTCTTCTTTTAATCCTGGTCAAACAAGCCTATCTTATAAACTTTCCTGAGTTTTTAAAATTATTCTTTGACTCCTTAAAAAAAAAAGGTAGAGGTAGTTTGCTGATCATCTGTGTTTCAAAACCATAATCCTTCAGAACTTCAAACTGATTTCTTTTGTATCAATAAATAAACTTGATCTTTTTGTTTATTGCTTCTAATAAAATACTTTCAAATCTTAGCAGAGCTCTTTTGTATATACAGAAGAAAAAAAAATAGTTTCAAATCAGTTTCCTGGTATAATAGCTTCATCTCCTTTAGGGAATAAGTCATTTGTCAGATCTATTTGTATTACATTTAAATCCCCCTTCAAATTAATTTCATAGACATCCATTGCAGCTCTTTTTGTTTCATAACTTTACTGGAATATGGTCTGTCAATTTATCAAGCATTTGATCCTTCCTTTCCAAAAGCTTGGCTCAAAGGTATTCAAAAGTTTGCACTAAGGATTTCTCCTCCATTTTATTTTATCCTCTGACACTAATGTTCAACCTTCAGGATAGCCTTATCAAAGCAATTGATATTTTCCCATAAGAAATTCTTCTAAATAATTTAAAACCATATTTCCAAATTCCTCTGGCCCATTAATCCCTTGTTAATTTTTCACAGTCCATAGACATGAGCACCCTTTTGCTGCATAAAGAATGGTATAAATTTTATTGTTAAGTTTTTAAAATATGTGATTTTTTTTTTGATTATGCAAAGCAGCTTGATGTAATGAGTTTAATGTAATCCCGACTCCCAGCATTCCACTCATAAGACAACTAAAAATGGCAGTTTCTGCAGTTTACTCATGAAGAACAACTGTCTTGATTATAAAGTCATGAGTCTCAACCATCTCCCCTTTGTTCTGCAGAAATTATGCTGGTTTGGATCCAGCATCTAGCCGAGATTTGCCTCATAAAAGCCATTTTGCTAGCCAGCAAAGGCTAGCAAGATATCAGCTAGCCATGGTGCTCACACAGGAAGCGTTTTAATGATTAAAACATATTGAAGTAGTGGGTCTGACATCTAGAAAAAAGCATTTTTGCATGAAGTGAATTCTTGATACCTATGTTGATATTCAGTATTTCTTAGGAAAAATATGAAAAATATTCTATCCCATATTACTATTTTACTACTGTTATTTATTGAAATGCATGAGTGTGCAAAACTAATGACACTCATTTTGTGAAACAGGTAAATACGTTTGTATGTCATTTTCTGTTCTTAATGCAGAGAAGCTAGCAGATTTACGCAATGAATATCTTGAAGCAGACGAAGCCACAAAACGATTTTTGGAGCAGCGCTATGGCAAAAGAGTTATTCAGAAGGCTTTAGAGGAGATGGAAAGTAAAAAATGGCTAGAAACCAATTCCAAATCATGTCCTTGCTGTGCAACTCCTATTGAGGTAAGATCAGTAGTGGGACTCAAATCCCGGCGCTACCGGTTCGCTATTGGTAGTGCACGGCGCTTCTGCACATGCACAGAGCGTTTTTGATGACATCTGGGGAGGTGGGTGGAGCCTCCTGCTGCCACCACTACCGGTTCGCCCGAACCGGGGTGAACCGGGAGCAACCCACCACTGGGTAAGATCATAGCAAAGAAGGGCGTGATTGAAGAATGTTCTGGAGACTCAAAAGACGCTAGTTTACCTTTTTAGGAGCAAGAATTGTGGTCCAGCTTTGAATTCCTGTGGACAACATTTTTTTAGAATATCAGCTCAGTCCTGACTATAGGCTGGGATCACTCAGCAGTAATTTTTGATTATGTTGGGAATGACAGGATTTTCATTACCCTTTCCTGTGGTAAAAACTTATAAGTAAGAAGACCACTTCTTTATATCTCAAAATACCTGTCTTAAACTGAAAGAAAAACACTACAAATACATTGGTCCCAGATTAGTCATTATATAATCAGCAATAGAACTAGTTAGAAACTGCTGGAAACATGTTAAATAAGACCAAGAAGAACTGAAATACATCTACACTTTTCATAGTCACTGTTTACAAAGCATTTCCCAGTAATTCATACAATATAATCTTGAAGAGAATTAAAATTCACTTTTTCAATTCAGTGTTCTCCGTTCATTCCACAGGTTATACTTTACAGTTTTGAACTTAGGTTTTTCATTTAATAAAATTCTTCCCTTAGTTTAAGAAACCCCACTTTAAAAAGTTGGAAAAAGTTTCTGGAGAATGTTCTCATATTGGTTTTCAAATACTGCTGTTTGTGATGCAAATAAGTCTGACATCTCTTACACAGTCTCCCCACTCCCTCCTCTCTCTCACACACACACCTGAAAGTGCCTATATCAGTTTATGTAATTTCTGTTGATATGCTTCCTAGCAGCTGAGAATAATGTTGACAATGGATTTTTCTTTGGTGTTTCTGAAGCTCCACTTTGGCAATCCTATGAAGTACCATACAGGGAGTCCTCAACTTACAACAGTTCATTTAGTGACCATTCAAAGTTATAGTGGCACCAAAAAAAGTGACTTATGACCGTTTTTCACACTTACGACCACTGCAGCAATCCCCTTGGTCACATGATCAAAATTCAGACACTTCACAGCTGACTCATGGCAATTGCAATGTCTTGAAGTCATGTGATCACCTTTTGCAAAATCGGTCAAGAAGCCAGATTCACTTAACAACCATTTCACTAGTTTAATAATTGCAGTGATTCACTTTAACGACTGTGGCAAGACAATTCGTAAGATGGAATAAAACTCATTAAACAGCTGCCTCGCCTTGCAACAGAAATTTTGGGTTCAATTGTGGTCGTAAGTCAAGGACTACCTGTAGGTAAAAATCCCATTTAGTGCTTCAGCTATTTAGAAAAGACAGGCAGAATTCTCTTTCTTATAGCAGTCAGACAGCATTTGCTACTGAAGTCTCATGAGTTAATGTAATGTTAAGAATACTGAATTGTAAATAGTATAAGGGAGTAGCCTCTACATCTTTTATTTTCCATTTAGCAAAATATAGTGGATCTTATTTTCCATTTAGCAAAGTAAAATTGATTGTACAAATTTCAGGTCAAATTGTCTTTTCCTCTTCTTTTTTTCAGAAGTTAAATGGCTGTAACAGGATGAGGTGCACTGCTTGCATGCAATACTTCTGTTGGCTTTGTATGGGTGTTTTATCCAGGATAAATCCATACCAGCACTTTAGTGATCCAGGCTCACCATGTTTTAACCTGTAAGTAACCTTTTTCTCTACTGAAAGAAAAGCAGAATTTCACTATAGGTCTGAGTTTACAGGGTTAATAGGTTTTGTATTCTAGAAGACTTTGGGATCTCTTACTACAAAGTAAGCAAAACAATAGGTCTTTCAAATTTGGTAATTTTAAGATGTGTGGACTTCAACATCCTGGCTGGGGAATTCTAGGAATTGAAATCCACTCATATTAAAAGTAGCTAAATTTGAAAAACACTGCAATAGGTTAATAAATTGAACGCTGTTAGGCTGGAGCTTATTCCACAAGCCGGTTAAAAGAGTTGGCTGAACAATTGTGTACAACAAAAAAGCTTTGACATATGTGTACCTTTTTGTCTGCAAGAGGCAATGATATTAAAAAATTAAAAATCACTAAAACTATTTTGTTATGGGACTTTTTATTGGAAAATAGTATTTCAATAAGACTGGATTCATACTTTATATTAATCCATAATGTCACTTGTTTGGTTTTATTTACTTAGAGTAAACCCAGCTAACTTTAATAACTATGATTAAATTATGGCTTAGCAAGATGCAGAATACAATATACTTTCATTAGCATCGCAACAGATTTCCTACCAAAATGTAATATTTAATCAAATCTTAAATAGTAATGTAGTATTTAAATTTGTGCCAAAAGCTAATGCTTAAGCCAAGTTCCATAGCTTTAGTAGGCTGATTAAATCAAAATGTCACAAAATAAGGGGCTTTTCTGAGTTTGGTTATTTTCTTGCAGACATTTCATTATCAAATCAGGTAACATCATCAGTACTTAGTAAGGAGTGGGGTTTGCTCTCATTTTATGTTCTAGTAGTTTGCCCTCTCAATGTACGTAGGGGTGGTCTTGCGGTTGTTGTTGTTTTTTTTTTTGGGTTGGGCTGTTTACTATTATGAGAGCAAACCCTATCCCCTACCAGCACTGATGATGTTATCTAGTTTGGGTAATAAAAACGTGTACAAGAAAACAACCAAACTTAAAGAGCACCAAAGATCCACACTTCAACCCTGAACTACAATATTCTCCTCTATTGGGGTCACAAAACAGTTTGGAAAATAATGCATTCCTCACAGGAGTAGCTGTAGGAGCCATCAACAACATCACAGTGATATCATCAGGTACTTAGAATCCTATACTTTTTTGTGATGCATGCATCACACACATACAAGCAGCAGCAAGGCATTCAGTCACATCCTCCATTTTATTGTTGACAGCTCCTGTGAACACCCCTAGGTCTCCAGAACTCTTTATCCACATAAATAGCAGACAAAATGGGAGAATGGAAAAAAAAAGAAAGAGAAGCGCTGGCTGATACAGAATTCATGTATGCGGGAGGATGTGGCAGATGTTTACATTAGCTACTGCTAGAAACCGTAATTATTCCAAGTTGCCCTAGAGCCATAAATTACCTCTTGTTATGATTAAATTTTGTGTTTTAGTTTATAAGTAATTGTATCAGAAGAAAAATGCAATGCAAAAGATATCAGTGCTTACTTGAAAATAAAAAGTATATTGTACATTATTTAAAAGAGAACCATTTTTTTTTTCAGGAACAAATCCAAAAAATGTGTCTCTGCTGTTATAAACAATAAAAGTATACTAAGTGTATGTAAAAGTAGTTGTTAAGTCTTGAGAAAGTCAGTTGGAATGCATTATTGCAGATCTTTTAATGTTAACATTTTTGATAAGTCATGGCCTGATTATTATTATTATTATTATTTATTATTTATTATTTATTATTATTATTATTATTATTATTATTATTATTATTATTATTATTATTATTATTATTATTATTATTAGCTTTAATTTATATGCCGCCCTTCTCCGGAGACTCAGGGTGGCTTACAATGCATTAAGCAATAGCCTTCATACTTTTGTATATTTATACAAAGTCAGCTTATTGCCCCCACAATCTGGGTCCTCATTTCACCTACCTTTGAAAGGATGGAAGGCTGAGTCAACCTTGAGCCTGGTGAGATTTGAACTTGCAGTAATTGCAAGCAGCAGATGTTAATAACAGTGCTTTAGTCCACTGTACTACAGGCTCTTGATATTACTAAGTTTGTTCTTCTCTTTACTGAAAATAGAGAGAATACTCTCTTAAAACATAGCATTTTCATTAATTTCTGTTATTACATATCTGCATAGTTGTGAAAAAAAATTCAGTTTTAAAAACAAACTTTTTTAGTTTTGCTGCGTGATTCTGCTACTCTTTTGGACAGCCTTTTTACAGAAATATATGCATGAGTTGTTACCATGTTGGCAAAATAATTTTTTTGTTTAAAATTCAATTTTCTTGTCTTTCAGGCTGTTTCAAGCTATGGAAATTGAGGATTAATTTTGGAATGAAGAGAATGATTAATCTTTAGACAGAATCAAAAGCTGAAGAAATGAAGATGTACCATGCATGTTCAAATTACTTTGATTATCGATGGATGAGACACAGAAATCGGCTCAGACCATCTAGAAAACTGCTTTTGTTTGCTATCACTAATTTCATGGATGTTATCTTTTAATTTAATTTTCAAAAGCACTGAACACTTAAACAAGGACATTAAAATTTCTCAATGTGCACCTTTTTTTAGTTAGCACTATTATCACTAAAACTGCTCCACAGTTTTAGTGGAGAACAACAGAAGTGGAATTTAAGCAGTTGTTTGCTGTCCTTGTCCAAGGAGCAAAGTATAAGGTAAAAACCTGTGATTTCTTCAGGTCCTGGAATTCTTAACACTTTATCCTGTTAGCATGGATAGTGATGCTGGCTGAGAGTCTCTTGAATATTGCTTATCATGACACGGATGGAAAATGGACTTTACAAGGCAAGGTTCAATAAAAAGGAAGACAGTAGGTTCAAATAATAGGCCTGTACTTTGAGGCTTCTACAGCACCCTATTGCATTGTGGGCAAATTTCTGATCTTTTGGCCTTAATTAGTTTGTCTGAGAAACAGATACTTGCAAATGGCTGCCTTTAGCCATAACAGTCATTTTGTATCCTTCAGTTTTCACAAAATAAACTACTGCTGGAGCCTGTTGGCAGGTCAGTCCATAGAAAGATCCATTGTTTGATCATCTCTCTGGTTGATAAGTTGTTTGCTCCATTCAAATTTGCAAAAAATGCTTGTCCAGAAGAGATCAGGAAGAAATATTTCTAGGCCAAGGCGACATGAAGTTGTCTACTCTTCCTATCTGCAATTTGTTAACACGAACTCTATGGTTATATATAGAAGTTGGAAATAAAATATTCCTACTAACTTTCGAGTTTTTATAGATAAAAGTTAGCACTTCAACTTTTACTACAAACTGGAAGCAAATGATTTTTTTTCTAAGGCTGGCATAAATGCCAAGAATCCTTCTGCTGGCCATTTAGAGAACAGAGAAGGAAGAAGGTAGTATGTTTTCCTGCACTCTTAGAAGCTTCCCACTTTAATACCTTCCAGATTGAATTACAATTCACAGAATTCCTAGCAAAAGTCAATCAGATTGGGAAAAGATGACTTGGGTAATAATGAAGAACAAGAATCAAGAGTGGATGTTTCCCCACGTTATATAACTGTACCACTTTAGAAAAGTCTGATATTTCTGCATTAAGAGTTGAGGTCCAGTAGATTATCTGAAAGAGTGCTTTTCATTTGTCCCCCCCCCCCCCCTGTTCCTGAAAAGGCTACTTTTTCATGAAATCCAACTCTTGTTTCCAATTCTTAACAAAATAAATATACCCAAAATTGTTCATAAACATTTATGTGTTTAATATGCAAAAAGCAATGAAAAGTTCATATCCTTCAGATTTTTTTCTACACACAATTACGATTCTAATGTTAACATCCCCATCCCAGAAACTCTCAAAATCATTTTTTTAAAAAAAGAAAATGAGGTCGCCCTCATTTGGTCTACATTCTTAAAACAGTAGGAAACTGATGTGTAATTAGTCCTGAGTTACTTGAAATTGCTTGATGCAGTTGCATCCACTCCTACTCTTGCACCTGGTAGAAAAAAAGATGCTTTTCAATAATTGAGTCCAATAATGTATTTTGTATATTGAAAGACTTCTCTCCACCAACTTCTTGTAATGGTACCAGAAAGATCTATTTAGCCAGTTGCTCAGAGAGGCTAGTCACTGTAGGCTTTTTCAGATTGACTTTCTGCTCCAACTTCTTTCATGCTATAGAGCGGTTCCACTAGTTTGTTGTGAACAAGCATCAATCCTGGTTAAAGGAAACAAAAATAGTTCAATTCTTATGTAAATGTTATATTTTATCAAGTAATAACTTACACTTACACTTGTACCAAGTATATTTGAATCGGGGGGTAATGAGCTGGAGACCTCAAACTTTTCTCCCCAAACTCTCTTGGTCCCTATACTGCCTTGCCTAATGTATTTGGTATCAATAGCAACTTGATACGGTAGTACCTACTACCACCACCCATCTTCCAAGAAGATGTCTAACCTGGTATCCTATGTTTAACTTTGTGTGTATATGAAAGTCTGTGCGCTGGGAGAAGGGATTCTCATAGCTGGCTGTATTTCTGGTATGTAAAAATGAAATAATGAAAGTATTGCTATAGCAAGCACCAGTTATAGAAAACAGAGACATGTGATTAGACATATCAGACATAGGACAATCTAACGAGATACAGAAAAATAAAATTTTGTTAAACTACTCCCCCTCCCAATATAAAATCACCTTAAAAGTTACAATATTAACTTTATCAATATAAAATCAATTCAGAAGACCACAAAGCAGCACTTTATCTATTGCAGAGTACACAGGCTTCAAGATTTATTAAGCATCAAAAGTTCCTCATGAAAAAATGTCAAGAGATTAGAAAAAATATATGTTGATATATTAGATATGCATACAACATGAAGTACTTACAGTCACGGAGCTTGTACAACGATACAAGAAATACTGGACTGAAGCACAGCCCGCCGCCCCCCCCCCCCAAAAAAAAGCTTTTTGCCTGGATCTATTTTTAAGATAAAGCCTCAGTTTCAGAGAATATAGGTATGTATTGTAAATATGCATTCTTTTTTTTACTTCTTTGTTTATTGCTTACTTTCACTCTTTCATTTTCACCCTAAATTAGTAAAATCAAAACTTGGTTTCTTAAAAAGTAGCACCCTGGAGAGATAATGCAGTCACGTCAGGCACAGCAATTTCTCCATTTCCCAAATGTTCTGACTTAATTTAATTTATTTTTTAAATAGCTTTTCTTTGTCTGCCTTTGCTTTATGTGTCCCAATGTTGATTCTGTTTGACACGAAATGATAACTGTTTTCTTTCTGGATACAGACTGGCATCACTCCAACATACTGTTTTTAATTCTTTTCCCCTTAATATTTTTGAATGTTGTGTCTAGAACAGGAAAACACATTCCTTATATTCTAAGATAAAGCACCAATGTGGAGGAATGGATAAGATATACGACTAGGACTGGATAGGCTCAAGTTCAACAATTCCCTCAGTCATGGAAACACTCTGGATTACTTTTAGGTCTCCTAGTATCTCCCAGCCCAGAGTGCCTTGTGAGGGTTCCTATTTGAGGAATAGCCAAAGGGAAATCACTAGGACAGATTCTTTGACCTCTTGCAGGGAAAAAAGGCAAGATACAAATCTAACATAATCAAAATATACAGAGTAATTTAGCTGGGAGAATCTCCATGTCATGCCTCACACCCATTGTCTAACACTCCAAAGTGTATAATATGAATATATTGTGTGTGTGTGTGCGTGTATATAACAGGTATGATGGTACCAGCTTTCTAGGCACTATATATATATCATCATGTTCACCAACGATGAACAATTAAATATCTGCAGGAAGTTACAAACAGGTATGATGGTGCCAGCTTTCTAAAACTATTGCTGGCTTCACATGTTAAGGCACTTTTTCATATATATATTTGTTTTCTGAGGTTTTCGCGGGTCTTTGTATGTAGGTCTTTGGTTATTCGGGTTTTCTCCCGTGTAAAATTGGAGGTGTCTTGGCAACGTTTTGACAAAGTCTCATTCGTCATCTTCAGGCTGGTGTTCTTGGCTTCGTGCTTCTAGGAGCAATGTGTGTGATCGCAGCTGTTTCTTCCTTTTAACTGCCAGTGGGAGTGTGAACTGATTGGGTGGGAACTTGGCTGTGTTCTGATTGGGTGGAGGTGTGTTCTGATTGGTTGGGGGTTTGGCTTTGCTCTGATTGGCTGGGTGTGTGTTCTGTTTAGGTGGGGGCTTGGTTGTGCTCGGGTTAGTCTGAGTAGCAGGGGGATTTGAGCTGGTGAGCTGTGTTGCTGTTGTTTGGCTTTTTCATATATATATATGAAAAAGTGCCTTAACATGTGAAGCCAGCAATAGTTTTAGAAAGCTGGCACCATCATACCTGTTTGTAACTTCCTGCAGATATTTAATTGTTCATCGTTGATGAACACCAAGATGATGATGATGGTTCAGTGGAACTTTTACCAACATCTGTACTTGTTATATACCATGATATTAGAGAGGTGGCACAAATAGCCCTTTGTTCCTTTTTTATGCATTTAATGACTTAGGTCCTTAGTGCTGTTTTTACATACCCCTTTATCTAAAGCTTCCCTTCAACTGGTTTCTGGCTCAAGGAAATTTAAAGAGAAGACATGCTTGATGGGTAAAAGATACAAACATTTCACTTAAAATGACAAAAAAGAGCAGGTTGAGAAAATAAAGAATCTGATTTCCGAAAAGGATAAGATGGAAGGGTAATACTGAAAATGTTAATCTAAATAAGACAAAAGCACTTACAGACTTGTGGGAAGCTCTTCAATAAGAAAATGCTAAGAAATAGTGGAGTGTTACAAGTTAAAATCTCCCAAAGTACTCCTTGTAGTTAAAGCATGACAGTCCCAAATTACATATGCAGCTCCTGATATAACATTTCAACTGCGGCCAAAAGAGGTACCAGCGCCATGGAGGATTTTTGCAGCATGATTTGTAGAGGTGAATTGCCAAACATTACTGCTGCATTGATGTCTGTTTATATTCTAGACATTTATAGACTATTTCTCAGATTTGTACAACAATCTACCTTGAAAATACTTCACAGTTTTTACTTTAAGTTCCAGAGTAGCATCATCATCGCATATAAAGATGGTTCGTGGATGTTGCTGAAATGCAGAAACAGTCCACATGTGGTTCACCCCTTCTTCAATTGCTTTGTATAATGCAAATGCTTTATGGGCTCCTGTGATCAGAATCATAACCTGAATGACAAGACATACAGGAAACACAATTAGGCTTGATGTCAAGCATCGTAAATACTAAATGGTCCTTGCTATCGTCAACTACTGGTATGCATGTATTTCAAGTTGGGAAAAAGGAGAACTAAGATGGTCTAGGACACAAATATCTGCAAGAACTAAGTTAAAACATCCAATGATGTTTTGTCAACATCTTGAGAACTTTTTCAAGAGAATAAAAGGGAGAAGATGTAACCATTAGAGCTATGTAGAATTCTACTTTACATAAAGTCTGGGGGAAAATAAGATCAAAAACGAAAGAGTTCCATGTTTTATAGCAAGCTTGTAAAGGGACAGCTTGCTTTTAGTTACATC